TTTATTGGGGGAAAGGGAGCAAAGGGAGGGGTAGGTGTTGGCCAACCGGGAACCGGGATGGAAGGGGAAGGGAAAAGGGAGGGGGGGGACAGAGATGAGAGGGGAGAAGGGGCGAACTGGTGTGGGGGGTGCCAGCTTAAAAGGGAAAGCTTGCACGAGCGTGCAGAGTCCTTACGCAGCCATGTAACTCATGATGCAGCCACGCAACGCAGGGCCCTTTGAGCTGTCCAAGTATCTGCCTGAATGCCGGTGTGTCTATCCTGCTCATTGTCAGGGGGGCGGGGTCAGTATAATGCCTGAGTCCTTATAAGGGCTTGCCAGAGGTCACGTGAGCCCAGGCTCCTCTGTGTACCCTGATTGCCAGAGGCTGCCTCTTGCTCTTTGGCTTGGAAGTGATGAACTCCACGGAGGCCCATCCTGAAGATGATGCCTGCAAATCCCCTGGGGGCACCAGGCGGGACTCAGCAGTCACAGTCTCGCCTTCAAACACTCCTCCTCGTCTCTTCTGTAGTGGAGCCGCATGGCGTCAGGTATGTGCAGTAGGCTTGGGTATACATCTTATCCCTTTGGAGAGTTGACCCGTGGATAGCCGCACACGCAAGCTGAGTGCAGACTGACAGCGCTTAGTGCTGCGGTTTGGATGAGAAGTGTTTCTGATAGACTCATATGTTAGAACACTGCTTCCCCTGGTGGGCCTTTGGAGAGGTAACGGAACGTTTAGGAGATGCGGTCTCGCTGGAGCAAGTAAGTCCCTGGAGGCGGGCCTGGAGGGTTCATAGCCAGCCCCATTTCTTATTTATTGGACCAGTTAGCTTTCTGTTCCTGCCATGAGGCCATGCCTTCAGGATTCTCGCCTTCTGGCGTCAGAAGCCAAAATAAACCCTTTCTTCCTTAAGTTGTTTTGGTTACAATGGTGGGCTTTTTAATTGTTTATTTTCTGAGATGGGGTTTCTCTGTGTAGCTTTGTAGACCAGGCTGACCTCGAACTCACAGAGATCCAACTGCCTCTGCCTCCTGAGTGCTGGGATTAAAGGCGTGCGCCACCAACACCCGGCTGGTCATGGTGTTTTATGGCAATAAAATCTGATGCACTTGGTATCCTCACAGTCTGTGTTCCTGTTTCCCGGGAGCTGTTTCCATGCATCACCTGGGCACACATTCGTCCTCTCCATCCCATGTTTGGGCGGGAGGCAGACCGCAAGGTCGGCATTTGTGAGATGTGCTCAGAATCTGCGTTGAGTGACTGGAAGCTCCCTCATTTCCTCCCTCTCCCTGCAGCCCCAGTGCAAGTTGGATCACACCCCCTTACACTGCACTCAGAGACAGACAGACAGACAGACAGGCTCAGGGGTCCCAGGATATCTCTGGAGGAGAACTACCACAGGGTGTGTGGCCTTTCTGAAGCACAGAGCAGTCATTGTATCCACACTGCTGGTGACAGATGACAATGACAGTGACAAATGCTAAGCGTCTGCACGTGAAGCCAAGGCCAGCGAGGCTCCGATGGAATGCTCATGTTCAGCGGGACTCCCTGCCCCGGCCTGGCAACGCTTTAGTTCTGTGGATCTGGAATGCATGGAGGGGGGTGGGGTGGGGGTGGCGGGGTGGGGTGGGGTGGGATGGGCTCTACTTTGCTGGTGCCTTGCTGGGGTTGATTGGTGCAGAGCTGAAACCCTGGCCTGCTCTCTGTTGTCATTGTCGTGACCCAAAGAGCCACCTCCTCTGCTCACTCAGGTCTGAGCATCTGAAAAGTGGGGAGTCCGAGGTATGGTGGCTGTCAATCTGCTTCCCTATGGTCTGTGCACATGGGGGGGCTGCAGATGTCCTCAGAATCCAATGCTCGTCTGCATTTATGTAACGCCGATAGTTGACTCCATCAGCCTGTACAAAAAAAGGCTACATAGGTCCTATTTATAGCAACAGCCAGAAATTGTCTACCCGTTATTTCTGGAATATCGGAGGACTGACCCCACAAGCAAGGGTCAGAATGTGGTCACCGTGACTTCATCGTTTCTGACCTCCCTGCTTTCCTTCCTGTGTGGCACCTCCATTCCCAGAGGCCCCCACAGGGGCCAGAGGCGGAACCCTGAGCAGGGCAAGACAGCTCTTCTCCTAATCCTTGGTTCTCCTTGTCCGCTCAGAATTCATGAGCCCTCAAGAGGAACAGTGCAGTGTGAACAGCTTCCGGCCTTGACGTCTCTTAACTGTGGAAGCTTGAGACCCAGCCCGGGGAAGGGTGGGAAGGGAGTTAGGGGTGATGTTTCCGCAGCTGCTGGGCTCAGGAGATAACTGAGGACGCCCCTGCAATTTAGCTTGAACAAGAGTGGCATTTGGTGATAAAGAAGTCATGTGACAGTCGGCTGGATGGACGGACGGACGAGCTGCAGGAGGCAGGGTGGCAGGGGTGGGCTTTACCCAGGGGCCCTACTGCACTGTACCCAGCCCTTCCCCCCTCCCCTCTCCCCTTCACCCTTCTGCTCCTCCTCTTCTCCCCTGTCCGCATGCCGGGGCAGAGTCGGTCCAGCCAAGGCCCCGATCTCTAGGGTACCAGGATGCGCCCCTCTTCCAGATGGGCTTCCCTGCCTGCTGCCTTGGCCTCTCTGTGCTCCTTGGTGGCCTCCAAGTCTCTCCCAGGCTGATGGAAGGCCCCTTGGGGTGTGTCAGAACCCAGAGATAGTCCATTGTTATCTCCCCCAAACTCTGTTCTCCTAAGCTCTCTTTTCTCTAAAGACTCAAGCCTTTGGGAACCCCAGCCCTGTCCCTTCAGACCTCCCCCGTTCCTGTGCCACACCTTTCCTGACGTGCGGGCACAGGTGTCAGTGGGTGGGTAGTGTTCCCCATGGTGTTGTCAAGCCCCGGTGACTCTTTCTTGGGGTCAGAGCGAGTGAGCCTGGGAGCCTGCCGGAAGTGGTTTCATTGAGTTCCAGGACAAAGAAAGTTGGCTTGTCTTTCCCTCTCTGTGCTCCCTTCTTTCTAGCGCTTTCTCCCTGCAGGAGGTGAAGGGAGGAGCTAAGGAAGAGGGGAGTGTGTGCCTGGTTGCACAGGTAGGTCAGAGCTTCCCAGGGCAGCCTCCCAGGACCATCCCCACTTCACTGCAGCTCACAGAGCAGTGGCGCGCCCACGGAGGAGTGACAGTCCACGAAGCTACTTGTTTTCAGGGTGTCACAGCCTTCCCAGGCCTGCTGCCTCCGGGTGAGGCGCTTCCCTGGAGTCAGACTGTCAGGGACCTCACTGCGAGGGAAGGAGGTAATCTTCCACAGGCAGAGCAGTTGTGTGAGTTCTGGCTTGTCAGCAGCAGACCCACGGCTAATTGGGGGCTTTGTCTGGGAAATGTCAGTAGGACTTGTTGAGTCCCATTAGAAGCCATTGAAAGTGACAAATGACTGGATACCTCTACACTTAGTCTCTGCATACCTCAGAGGCTTGATCAGGAGGCCCCCCCACCCCCAGGGCAGGGAGTGGTGCTCTGCTGGGAAAGGCAGCCGGCCATCCCCAGACTACAGGGAGTGGGGCCACGTAGCTCAGCCACAGCTGGAGAAAAATCAGCAGGACATGGCTTGCCTTCTCTGCACACGCACGGAGCTTTGCAGGGTCTGATGGTGCTGCCTGCAGGTGCATCAGGAGTCTGGGGCCTGGGAGGACCCCAGCAGGGCTTCCCCGGGAGCCACTCTTTGGCTCTAGTCTAATATGTGGTGGAGACCAGCTCTGGGTCCCTCCTGGTCTTCCTTTTGGGCAGTTGAGACAGACACCGAATGCACGTCACACATTAAAGTTACACGAGACAGCATGATGACAGTGGGCAGAGCTGCAGGGGACAGGACATGAAGCTCCCATGCCCATGTGTGACATTCCCATTTCCTTCTTCACTACTTGGTATTTGCAGGAGCTGCTCCCCCCACCGGTGCTGGCTACTCCCGTGAGGGTCACAGGCACAGGTGTGTCAAAGGCACCAGGGGGGTTCACAGGCATGGGGGCCACAGGCATGGGGGAGAGGAGGGGTCACAGGCACGGGTGTGGGTGGGTTTCACAGGCACAGGGGTCACAATCATAGGGTCATGGGGGTCACAGACATGGGGGTCACAGGCGTGGGGTGGGTAGGTTTCACAGGCACAGGGGTCACAGTCATAGGGTCATGGGGTCACAGACATGGGGGTCACAGGCATGGGGTGGCATGCACAAGCTCGGGCAGAGCTTACCACTAAGCCCCAGACTGGTGAGCTCTGCCAGGCTTCATTCAGTCCCAGGCTCTCTGCTTGAAACCGATCCTCCCCATCCCCTCTCTCCTGTCTGGCAGCCATCAGGCCACTCCTGGACGGCTCTGAAAGCCTAATGGATGGTACCAGTCTTGGTTCCAGTTTTAATTCTACAGCAGGGCGTGTTTTCCTTTGGCTCTTCGAGGAGCAGATCTGAAGCTCAGGATTGTTAGGAAAAGGGTGCCACACAGTTTGAAAACAGGGCTACCAAGTGCCTCCGGCTGAGGGCAGATAGGGAAATGGAATGCTGTGTCTGTCTCGGAAATGTTTATCAGCCTTCTGAGGGCGATAAGGGGGAGATCTGGAAGGAAATATCCCAGAGACATTGGTAATTTGTCTTCTCCGGTCAGATCAGTTGCTCTTCCTACCAAGCGTGTGTGTCTCTATCCCGAGTCCAGGCTGCAACGGGGCTGCTGGGTCCTAGCCGGAGGATGAGTAAGGGCTTGCTGCATGCATGCATTCATCTTGTGAGGGCTCGGGAGCCTGAAGGATGATGAAGGGAAGGCATTCTCTCTCTGGAGACCAGCACACAGCCTAAAAGGCACCCGTAGACTTGGTCGTTCTATTTTTTTTCTTTTTATTTATTTTTGAGTGCATGGGTATTTTTGCCTGCATGTAAGTGGGTATACCATGTGCATGAAGTACCTACAGAAGCCAGAAGAGGGCATCAGATCCACTAGATTGGAGTTACAGAGGTTGATGAGCTGCCATGTGGACCTTGGGAATCAAACTCAGGTCCTCTGGAAGAGCTGCCACTGTTCTTAACCACTGAGCCATCTCCCCAGCCCCAGAAGTCCTTGGAAATATACCTAACCCTCTACTGACCCCAGGTTAAAGACCAGAATTTATATTTGCAAAGTGCCCATGGGTCACTGAGTTTGCATTGTCTTCAAGGCCTGAGTTGAGGTACAGGTAGGGCTGGGAAGACCTAGATCTGGAATATCCATTGCAGAATCTTCTTTAGCTGCCTAGCTCAGCAGCCAGAACCCAACAAAGGTTGACTTCTCTCGCCCTTCCAAATGGGGCAGATGTGGCAAACTGGCCTGGACCAGCAGCAAGCAGGGAGGTGCCATTCCCGCTTCCCTAGGCGCTGGGACCAACTTCAGTTCTGCTCATCATCCTACCTGCTGCCTTCTTACAGCAGGGTTAAGCACACAGCTTTGCAATCAGGGACCTTGGAATGCAGGCCTGATCTTTCTGCATATATGTACTCATGCTCGTGTCTGGACTTAAGGGGAGTACACACAAATCCATCATGAGCTGAAAATATTCTAAGACAAAATGCATTTATTACACCTACTCTACCGAACAGCCGTATGGACTAACCGGTGCTCAGTTGGCCAAAGCCACCTACTGGAATATCTCACAGGGTTCCTGTATCCAAAAGTACTAGCCACTAAGTTCCCTGTAGGGTGTTGCCTGTCAGTGCATGTGATCACATGACAGTCTAGGAACAGCTGCCACCTAGCATCTCAAGCTGCCCTCATACCATGGTGTGTCAATAGCCCAGCAAGTGGAGAGTGTGGTTCCTACTGAATGTAGAGCTTTGATGAAATTGCAAAGTTGAAAAATCATCCATCACACAGGTTTCCATCTATATGTGCATACCCGCAACTGTGTGTGGATGTATGTGTGCATACATGTGTCTCCTTTTTCTCTTTTTGTTTCAGAGTATCTTCCAGGTATTTGAATTTGGAAACCCGACCCTCCTAGGGATGCTGTGAAGATTTGGGGAACTGATGCATGGGTGCACAGGAGCACTGATTGTGGTTATACAGGAGTACCAATGCATGGGTGCACAGAAGCATTGATGCCTGGGTATACAGAAGCACTGATGCATGGGTACACAGGAGTGCTGATGCATGGGTGCACAGGAGTATTAATGCATGGGTGCACAGGAACGCTGATGCATGGGTGCACAGGAGCACTGATTGTGGTTATACAAGAGCATTAATGCATGGGTGCACAGGAACACTGATGCATGGGTGCACAGGAACACTGATGCATGGGCGCACAGGAGTATTAATGCATGGGTGCACAGGAACGCTGATGCATGGGTGCACAGGAACACTGATTGTGGTTATACAGGAGCATTAATGCATGGGTGCACAGGAACACTGATGCATGGGTGCACAGGAGCATTAATGCATGAGCACATTTAATAATTCAGAAGCTGGTACTTGGTTGGTCACATGCTGGTCAGCATCACCAGCTGTGTTTCCTCGGGACCAGTGGACTCTCCTTCAGTCACCCTGGCGTATTGGTTGGGGCTGGGCGCCATCTGGTGGCTGCTCTTTCTACTCTCACTTAGGTCCCTTGGATGTGAGGCCCCTTTCCTGGTCCCCTTGTCCCCCAGATGAGGACTGGGAGCAAACTTGCCCCTTTCCCCACGGCTCCCTTCCTGACTTTGGAGAGGCTTGGGTCAGGTCTGGCAATGGGAAGTGGGGCTTGGCAGTGAGGGCGGAAGCCGGGATCTTCTTGGGGAAGTTGTGGCTGCGGACTCTGAGGCTTGATCCCGTTCTCCCAGACCATCCCTGACCTTGAGGGTCCCCAAAGCTAGGCCCACTGTCACAGATGGACCAGCAGCACATCCACAGAAATCCCCAGGCTCTTATGAGGTAATTTTATTCCTTCTCGCTTTAGGTAAAAATAGTAAATACAAGATAATAAAGGTAAAAATACATTATTTGGATTTTGTTGTTTCTAAACAATGACAACTTTTCTCTACAGTACAATTTTTGATTTAGTGTTTTTAAACTTTTTTATATAAACAAATAGAACTATTTAGCTATTAGGCTATCTGGGTTCTCATCTGGCACTTAAGAGTAGGTCACAGGCCACCTCCCGGTTCTGGGTTCTCATCCGGCACTTAAGAGCAGGTCACAGGCCACCTCCCCTTTCTGATTGTGTGTGTGTGTGTGTGTGTGGTGGGGAGGAATGAGAAGCAACTCCCAGGACTGGGAGGGCTAACTTCCCAGGACACCTCTGGAGTACTGTGTGGGGTGGGAGGGTCCCCTTGCGCGTCCAAGATGGCCTTTTCCTGCCTTGGTCACTGAGGCTGGACGGGAGGTCTCATGTGTGTCTCACAGCATTGCCTCCCTCCTTGGGGTAGCTGTTCTCTCCCAACAGTCTAGTTTCACAATCCTGGGCCCAGGCAGGAGCCAGCCACGTGCCCAGGACAGACAGAGCCAGTGGATCCCCTTGTATGGCAGGGGAGTGGGGTGGAGCCCCTCCCCAACAGGGCTGTGGCTGGTTGTTCCAGTTCGGCTTTGGAATGCTGGTAGAAGTCACAGGTGCCGCCGTCAGGCACTAAATGTCCTTGCCCTTGTTCACCCGTAGGTGGTCTTTGTTTAAGTTCTTCCCAAACTTCTCACTGAGCTGTTGGATCAGGTCTGCCAGCTCGCCTGTAGCTTGCGACTTCTCTTCGAGAAGCTCATAGCGAAGGCTGGAGATGTCTTGCTTGATCTCTTTGAGTTCACCTGCAAGGACAGGAGAGGGCTTCCTGAGGATGGACATGTGACAGGAAGGAGGGTACTCAGCTCTGGGTGCAGGCCCAGCCCCTGGGTGGGTGATGTTGGGGAGGGTGGTAGGATCATGAAGGTCCTTGTGTCCACAGAACTCCAGGGGGGTAGAAGTACCACCCAGCTGGCTTCCCACTCTGCACTTACAGCACCCCCCCCCCCCCCCCCCGCCCCTCCCTCCCATTCCTGGAAAGCCTCTCCCTTCACAGCTTAGAGAGGTGGAGTTCAGGGCTGCGAACTTTCTGGCAACTGTTTCACACGCTGCTGGCTCCAGTGTTGGTCTCAGAGCCGTTAAAAGTAGATGTCAGGAGTGAGCAAAATGTCTGTTACCCGGAGCATTTGTTTTCACAATGCTCTCTCTGCTTGACTCTGTGCATCTGTGCACCGCAGAGCAGGGCTCTATACGATGGATGCAGCCCCGGGCTGGCCAGCTGCGGTTCCGTTCGTTCTCAGAAGCAGCCTGACCGCCCCAGTCCTAGCCTCCCTGAAGCCTATGTCCGCCTCCTCCCCTAATAGGGAATCACTAAGCAGTAACTTTCATTTTCTGTTTCCATAGTTACCCACATGGTTAGAAGCCCGAGGAGTCTGGTCTGTGGAAATCTATAAAGCACAAAGGTTCTTTCCTCATATTCTAGACGCCAGACTAAATTCTGGTGGGAATTCACTGCTTGTGAGTGTATTATTCTTCTCTTACACAGGTGTGCTTAAATATATAAAGTGCAGAGCTCTTACACACACAATTACATCCCCTATTTTTACTAGGGGGCTTCACTAAGCTCCAGGCTCAAGGGATCATTTAAATGGCATTGGGGCACCCATCCACAAACTGTGTGTCATTTAAATGGCATCGGGGCACCCATCCACAAACTGTGTGTCATTACCTTCATGCCCATTACAGCCACACACCCCTGAGGACGGATGACATGGCACCTGGTGATCTCATAATTGGGGCTCACAAGGAGAGGTAAGTTATGGGCTCAGCCTCTTAACTCTGTCTGCTCAGCAACTAGATCGGACACTGCTGCCTCTCCGGCTGTGTGCTGGGTACCTCAAGCAGAGGCTAAGTGTCACTCAGCAGCTGGGCTCTTTTGGGAGCCCTCGTCGCCCCAGTGGGGGGAGGCAGGATATCTCCACTCATGGACAAAGGTCTTACTTGGTAGCAAATATTTATCCTAGGTGTTGCATGATTAATAATAGGGCATCGTTTCTTATCTAAGAATGCGTGCTGAAAACAAGCTGGAAAATAACCCAAACGGTCAGAGTGATGTAGATGGGAACTCCAGTGTGCATGGGGATCACCTGCTGCTGTCTATTGTCTAAAACGGAGCCCGCAGGCCCTGCCACGGGTGCAGGGGTGCATCAGGCTTCGATCTGCACGGTAATCAGTGGGTACTGGAGAGGGAGGGCCTCGGAGAAACACAGCCGTGGTCGGTCTCAGAACCCGGAACAGGGGCAGGATGGGCAGCTGGGGCTGAGCTAGCGGCAGATTCTGAGAATGGGGTTCAGACTGGCCCTTTTGTGTATGTGCCCATACAGGAAGGTACGGATGGTGGGCTTCTAGGCTATCCTGGATTCAAAGGGCTCGAAGCCCGCTGAGGATGCCATCACTGCGAGAGGTGGATTAATGCCCCTCACTTCCGTGATGTCCATATTGTCATAGCTGCTGGCTGGCCTGAGGGTGAGTCATGTCACACAGGAACTAAGGTGACTTGTGGAATCATGTGCTAACTAGCTGGCTTTAGGAGAGCCCCCTGCATGGTCCAGGAGCCCATCTAATCCTAGGCATCATTACCTAGGAGGAGGAGGAGGGGGAGGGTAAGGGAGAGGGGGGAGGAGGGGGGGGAGAGAGAGGAGGGGGAGGGGGAGGGTAAGAGTAAGGGTGGAGGTGACAGTTGCCAGAAAGGAGAGTTGGTGGTGACCTAGGGTGGAGATTCTGAGAGGTGGGTTAGTGCTGGGGCCCCAGGGCGGCCTTCCGGTTTTGGCTCGGGCTGGAGCAGGAGTGAGGGAATGAAGACCTCGGTCTCCCCGCCTCACGGGAATGCATCTGCTCTCACTGAAGGGCAGGGAGTTCTCCAGAAAGGACACAGAATCCCAACGACGCCACAGTCCCGGCCCCGAGAGAACCATGGTGGACCCCTGCCCTGCAGAGTTCAGACTGGGATTGCCTCAGGGGGAACCTCACGCACCTTCGTTGACCTCGTCGTTCTCCCTGTCCACCTGGGCCTTCAGCACGTATCTCTTTATGAGCCGCTTCATGATTTTCTGAAACGACGAGCACAGGGGGTCAGCACTGGACGCTAAGCAGGCGAGTGACTCTCTCCAGGGTGCTCTGCCCCTGGAGGGACCTGACAGAGCTCTGCCTAACCCCCCATCCCCCTGTGCCCCTCAGGAGGTGACCACGGGACACTCCCTGATGAGGGGAAGCCAGGCCAAGGAGAGGGGGATCCTTGGATACGTGGCTCTGCTTGAGGTCCTCAGCCCACTTTTGTCCTGGCCAGACAGGGAATGCTGGGAAATCTTAGCAGGTCAGCTCAGGTAACTGCAGCCCTAGAGGTGACCGTGAGTGGTGAGAGCCGCCAGGGTCAGGCTGGGGGAAGTCGGCTGCACCTCGAAGAGCTGTTGCCAGCGGCCCTCAGCCACTCTCCCAGCCAGGTGTCTGGATCAGATGGAGAGACCACTTCCCCAGATGCCCGCAGGTCAGACCTGTGCCCCCAGTTATGGTGGAGCAGGGACTTCGGCCCCAGTTTCCCAATAACAGGAAGTTAAGTGTCGCTTAGTAAGCAGATCTTGAGCCACGTTGAAGGGACACCAAGAATAGCGCCGAGTGTCAGGAAGCCTGGAGGAGCTGAACTTTGGATTTTGCCAGCTAGTTGTTCAGGGTTCCTGTGAAATCACAGAGTTTAAAAATATTCTGGAAGCTGAGATTTCTGACTCTTTCGAGATGAGCAGCATGGAGGAGAGGGGGGCCAGAGTTCCCTGCTGCTGGAGCTGCCCTGGTCAGGAGTCCATTCACCTGGCCACGCCCAGAATCAAGAGGACACAGCAGCATCTGGAGTTCAGCATCTTCTGGAGTTCAGCATCTTCTGGAGTTCAGCATTTTCTGGAGTTGTTCAGCATCTTCTGGAGTTCAGCATCATCTTCTGGAGTTCAGCATCTTCTGGAGTTGTTCAGCATCTTCTGGAGTTCAGCATCATCTTCTGGAGTTCAGCATCTTCTGGAGTTCAGCATCTTCTGGAGTTCAGCTGCCTGCAGTGGACCTGGCTTCAGCCCTGGACTCTCTGATGGCAGAGAAACGGGACTGACCTGTGTGCAAAGTGTTAGAGGCTGAGGAATTTCCTGCTGGATGGTTCTCTCCATGCCCTCAGCAGGAGGCTGACTTGCCAAGGACAGTCTCCAGACTGGGTCCCAAGATTTTGCATGTCCTGAGCTACGTTTCTTTCATCCAGGGCCCCGGGTGAAATTAGGCCAGTGAGCCCTCCTCTGCCTGAGCCTGTGGGTCCCCCTCCCATGGCTTGATGGCTTGTTTGGGTGCTGGGAACAGCTCATTAGTAAGCTGCCCCCTGCTGGTCCCCATGTGGTAAGTGTTAGCACTGCGGTGTCTGAAGTGTAGCTCATCCTTGTCTCTGGGACATTCTTCTAGTCCAGGAAGCAGATTATCTACACCACAGGACTGAGTGCCCACCCCTGGGACCTTCAAAGGAAAAGCAAGCCCAGACAAACACAAAAAATAAAACCTGCCCTTAATTGGTTCTCACAGAAGAAAATGGAGTTATCTCTGTACCTGCTAGTCTAGGAAATTAAGACCACTCGTCTGCTGCATGCTTTTAGGCTGGCCCAAGAGAAAGGGTTACAGTTAAAGTTAGTTGCCTTCCAAGGCAAACCTCGATAATTAAGTGTCCCAGCTGGGTGCATTTCTGTAAGCCTGAAATGCCAACACTCCAGAGTCTGAGACAGGAGGGTGGTGAGTTCCTGGGCTACGTGGTGAGACCCTGCCTCAGCGAAGCAAGTGGATGGCTTCTCCACTTCTGGTGTCATGAGTGAGGGGGTCACGATGGAGGATGACAGGGCAGAGCCTGAAAGTGTGGGGGGTGAGCGGCCCCTTTCTGTGGGTGCTGCAGCCATCGCCGTCCTGCCTAGCTGGTGGTTAGTATCCACTGTGCTCTGGATTCAGCCACATAGTTCAACCGAGTCTCTCAAAATACGGTAAGGGCTATGCTTGTGACCATTCCAAACATGCCTACCAAGTGAGATGCAGCTCACATGCATGGAGGAGGAGGAGGGGAGGGGAGAGGAGAGGAGGGGGAGGGGGAGGGAAAGGACTGAGAGGAGGGGGAGGGGGAGAAGGGAAGGGAAGCAGCAGCAGCAGAAGCCACTCAGACATGCATGCTGTGTTAGTGTTATTCACAAAAATGACCTCACTCAATCTCCCCAGAAACAAGGGGGTGGAGGGGGTGGGGGTGGATTGCTACAGATGAGGACTTGTAGACTCAGGGTATGAGGGACTCTAAGGCCACACAGGCGGGGAGAAGGGGAGTGCAAGGTGGAAGCCGGGCCTGCATGGAAAGGCTGGTTTCCTGATGGTTGAGGAGTGAGGAGCGCTGTTCATGAACTGGATTCCGTTAGGCTGGGCTGCCTCCTCTTCACGCAGAAGGGGGCCTTTTTAGGTGTCTGCAGACGGGCAACCTCCCAGTGGCTACAGCAGAGGGAAAGAGTTGCTGGCCCCGGATTCGTTGGGCTTGAACACACATGGTCCATTCTTGGTTACTGAAGTGCTTCATCTGAGTAGGGTTTCTGCGGTCTTGGGGTTCAAGGGCTAGAAAATTAAAGATTTGCTTTGAAGTCCTCAATCTGCATTGGGGCTATAGAGGCTTCATGTACAAACAGATTGGAATTAGAATGACAGATATGTGGGGGCCCTGTGACCTTGCTCCTTGCCCCAAGGTAATGAGCACCCTCTCGGGGAGTAATGGGGCCACAGACAATCCCGGAGACTGTCTTCATGTGGCTGAGTTTCTCGGTATGTACGTGGTAGACAACATGGGATCCACAATGACAAGATGCTGGGGTTGCCACCAGGAAGCATAAAATGGTTGGCAGTATTGTCCTTGACATTCAGGCCAGAAGGTTCCGGGGAAGGTGGTCATCACAACTTCCTCTGCTTCACTGTGGGGGTGGGGTGGGGGTGCTGCTATGTGCTGGATTGTAGACAGCTCCTTGTTTTCTTCTACGGGTCCTGAGTTCATGAAACTGAACTCTCCCTGGCTCCTGGCCTGTAGCTAGCAGCAGAGGTGAGTCTATTCAGTGACATTACCCAGCGGAGGAGGAGGACTCAGGTGACTCCAAATGCCATGCACATGGGTAAGGGTGGGTTGTCTCAGAGACTTGCAGCCTGGTACAAGGTAAACACTTGCCCAGCACAGAATCCTGGGGTCCATGGCCTCCGGGCGCTGGTGGGAGGGGACACGACCCTCGCTCCCCGGGGGCCAGTGCTTTGTGTTGACAAGGTGGTCAAGAACACAGGCAAGGATGAGGGCACACGCTTTACAGTGGGGAGGGGTGGGGGAGGTGGAGCCAGGGGGAAGCGATGGCGCCCCCTCCAGGAACAGAAAAGCCGGAGCTTTAGGAAGGTGGGTACACCGGAGCTCGGCAGAAGCCGCACACGACGGTCCACCGTGTTTCTGAGACACTGGACAGGGAAAGCAGTGCCAACAGCTTGTCTGCCACATCTCACAGCAAAGGCCAGCTACACGACGCCACCCCCTGGGGAAGCCAGGCCTGCTGTCACATGCCTGTAGTCCCAGCATCTGGAAAAGGGCAGGCAGGAGGGTCAGGAGTTCAAGGCTAGCCTCAGCGACACAAAGTTCACAACCAGTCTGGGCTATACAAGGCCCTGTTTCAAAACAAACAGAAACAACCAAACCACTGCCTTCAAATAACAACAAAATTAATCCTCTCTCTCCAAAACCACCCACAGTAAGGAGACACTATGTCATGAAGACTCAGGTCTGTTTCGACAGTGGGCTGTACCGGATTCTAAGGTATACTTAGGATCCAGCTCGTTTGCTCCCCTCGGCGCGTGTTTTTGGGGTCTGTGCCCCCGACTAGTTGACTCTTGGAACAGGCCGCAGGGCAGCTCTGAGAGGAGGCACACTTAGGCTGTCTCATTCACATTGTGATTCCGTCCCATTGTTTGGTCTCTTGGGCCTGGAGCCGGGGATGGAAGAGACCTAAGTAAGGCAAGCAGCTAGTGCTGAGGGAACTAAGTAAGTCAGCCGCACTCCAGGTGGCTGCTCAGGTCTGCGGGAACCAAGGGCTGGCCGGCCTTTCCCCACCATACAAAGCAGAAGGACTGAAAAGCTTAAAACCAGCAGGGGACTCCCAGGGAAAAGACAGCAGCGGGAGCCAGGCTCTGGGACCTTGCGATGGAGCAGTGTGTCCTAGTCTGTGATCCTACAGGACTTCTGCCAATGTCCACATTGAGCAAGGCTGACGTTGGGTGGCGCATGCTCTCAGTGAGCTGGCTGCTCTGGGGAGGCCCTGGAGAGCAGGGAAAGGGAGAGACTGAAGGCTGCAGGCTCTCTGCACATCAAACTACCGTGGGTCAGAAGTACACAGCAGCCTGGAAGGCTCGCAGTGGGCCCACGAGCGGGGAAGCAGCCTCAGGTCATCCTGGGGTCCGTCCCTTGGCTTTGCCTGTTGCGACTGTCAACAGGACACTGGCCAAGGCCAGCTCAGGCTCCTTGTCCTCACCTCGGGCTTGGAGGTTTAGACAGATCCCACACTGGAGACCACCAAGCCCCGGCAAGGCGGGGGCTGAGGGGACTCTGAGGAAGCGCTGGCGTGACAGGCCAACGCCTGGGTACTGTGCTGTGGTGACAGAAGTGACCCGAGTATCAGGTGGGGTCACAACCAGCTGTGAGGCCTCGGCCAAGGAGAGTCAGTTCTGATATCCACAAAATTTGCTGGAATCTGGGGAGAAAGGACACCACTGATGTCCAGCCTGCTTCCAGATGACGTTTGGGGTCATCTCGAGGTTAAGTTAGATCCTGAAGAGATGACTGCAACTCGGGAAGATGCCCAGACACACAGTCCAGCTGGTGCGGAGTGACCAGGTGCAAAAAGCGGGGTGTTCTCAGTCCCACGCCTGTCCCTCAGCCCCCTGTCCCAAGGGCCTTGTGCTTGTCCCTGAGGACTACTTGAATAAGTAGCCTGGGGTATTTTTCTCCAAGCTGACAAAATACAAGGTCATCCCTAGCCTGAGGCTGCAAACCAGCCAATCTCATCACAGCAGGGGTGCCTGGGAGGTGTGGGGCAGGATGGACGGAAGCTGTGGGGCTGGCAGGATGCAGGGGACAGCTGTGTGGCTGACTGTGACTCATCTGGGTGCAGGACATTCACAGGCCATCCTTCTTCCTTTATCTCGGCAGAGGAGGCTGGTCCTGCCCGAGACCAGCAGTTTCTATTAGGAGTCGCAATCTTTTCTGTGACACAGAGAATATGTGCTCTTCTCGGGGAAGCTGGGAACTGGGAGCCCTCCCCCGGGCAGAGGATTTAGCCTGTGAATCAGCTCAGAGCAGATCAAACTGGGCAGCCTCGATTCTGCACACGATTAATTTCAAGGCTCGCCCATTGTCAATCTTGAGCCTGTGCCGTCTGATAAAGACTCAAGTACTCTCAGGGATGGGCTAGTTCTTAACTGAACAATTAAACCCTCTCCTGTGCGCCGCTGGCTTCTGAAACCCGGGTGAGGAGATCCAACTAGATCTGGAAGATGCCAGGTCTGTAGCAGTTCCCCGTGGGAAGGTGGCACTTGGGACAGGTCACCTTCTCACCTTAGCCCGAAGTGATACCCAGGATAACATCACATTACAACCAAAGAAATTATAGACAAGGATGAATCTGCTCACCGTGGGGAGTGAGGGTCAGGGAAAGAATGCCCTGCACGTTCCAACAGCTAACCGGAAGCTACTGTTCATCAAGGCTAGGCCCATTCAAACTGGAACAGAGTTAGCCCTGGTTTCCGGAAGGGATCCGAGGATGGCAAGCATAGAGGGCTTCCCCAGATTCCTGTAGCGAGCATCTATGCAGGCTGGCTGTCTAAAGAATGGACACTGGGGACGCACTGGGAGCCATGGAGGTGCCACTCCTTCCCTGGTCCCCACCCAGCGTCAGTTCCCACCTACTGTGGATTGTGTTTGATCTTCCCATTGCTGCTCACACGCCCCCGCTGAAACGCCATCCCTTACATCTCAATGACAGGCGCTCCGAGCATCCTCCTAACCCGTGTCTGCCTGGTCACTGACACTGAGGACAGTGGAGTCATTTCTGTCCCCTGCAGAGTTACCCTCCTCTCCCGGACCTCAGAGAACGTGAGTGTGGCACTATTCCCATCCTGAGTGGTGGGGCTCTGTCTTCCTTCTGAGTTTGTCTTCTGCTCTCCCCTGCGGCTCGAGGCCTTTGTGATTGCTCCACCCTTACCAGGAAGGTCCCACGGCTATTTCCTTTTCCTGGCTGACACCTTGGCTAACACTCCTCTCTGTGACGATGCCCCCTACTCCCCACCCCCCACCCGCACCCCCAGCCAGGCCTTCCTGGTTGTCTCCAGTTCGAATCTTTTCCTTTATTTCCTGGGACTTCTATCAGTATGTTATCTATGTGCTTATTATCTGCCTCTCTGCCTAAGGAGCTTAGAGGTGCCACCGAGCCAGGAACCCTGTTGGCATCCTCAGTAGATGACGCCATGCCTGCCATACAGCAGG